GGTATAGAAGTTGAAAATATGCGTCGGAGGGTACTGTGGTCCGCAACGAAGAATGTTGTGCCAGTTTCGCGGCAAAAAACGTTGTAAGGGAGGGGCGCTATAGCGCAATATAGGTTCAGTGACGCCTCCTTTTTCCAGTGACTCCGCCTCCAGACTCCGCCTTCAAGGCCCGCCTTCAGTGAAAAAGCTGCAGGACGAAAAAGCATGAAAATCGTCATTTGTACGGTCGTAGAACTCTTCTCGGGCAATCAGCTCTGCAGATGAGGGAGATGGTATTAATTGGGCACGTACAAATGGGATTGACAAGGGGTCTATCTAGGGCAGTTGGCATGCTTTTTTCTTCACTATCGTGTTACTCAAAACCTTGTCGTCTGTATGCAAACCCCTTTTTCGCTATCGGTGATGGCGAATGATCGCGGGCTTTACCTTTAAGAACTTTAGAGGTTTGTTGCATTGGGTTAACAACTGCAAAATGATATTTTGAAATAGCAATTTATGTTGCTGTGAGTAACCGAGAAATAAAAACAGACAAATTAAGTACAACGTAAAGCGCTCTTTGACGTATAGGAAACCCGCAAGTCATAGTTGAACAGCATAATCCTGTTCTACAATCAAACCACTGCATCTATAAATACAATTTCAGAACGAACTGATGGCTGCCGAAAAATTCGACAGGAACAAATCAAAATAGCACGTGTGATTAAAAGGAATCCTGTGAAAACGACAAGATCTGAATAGTAAGCGAGGCAAGCAAGAACAATTAGAGAGCGTAAGTTGCGTTCATACTTCGCAGCAGCGTCTACCAGCGTCCACCAGCGAGGAGCGAGGGCTAGGGAAGTATAGGTATTGACCTAGCGTTTGCCTACGCCTATCAGCGTTCTCCAGCGTTCACCAGCAACCGGGAGGAGTGAGTATGGTAAGTAGAAGTTTAGCAAACAGCAGAATTAGTCGTTTGCGGCGTGTGCACCGTGCAACTGCACTACCCCGCAGACATGATTGCATGGCGCAGTTTGTCGACGGGGGCATTCTGCTTTCCATAGATGTGCCGACCCATCTAGGTAGCCTTTTCTCGAGTTGACACGTTTTAGGATGGTGGCTAGACGATCCTGCACCAGCTTCACAAGGGTTCACAAGTTTTACCAGGGTGAGATTTGTGAACCGGAACTAGGGAAGCAATGGTAGTAAAAATGCCCCCCCCCGTCGACAAACAGCGCCTGATTGCATAATTCTGTGCTTCAGCAGATGTGCGGTGCGGTTGCACACGCCGCCATTTCACGATGCCTAATCCTTTTGTTTCCTACCCTGCTACTTCTCCCTACTCTCCACTCCCGATCGCTGGTGAACGCTGGTGGACGCTGATAGACGCTGGTGGACGCTGCCGCAAAGTATGAACACAGCCTAATGAACAGCAAAATGAACAGTGTGCTCAGATCATCATTTGCAGGTAAACTAGCGAAACTGGCGGCTATAGGATTTCCCATTTACAACCACTGAATGGGTCTACTTCCTAACACTACAGCACACGCGTGAGCCTAATTTACACTCCTTATCCCTGAGATGGAGTAGGCGTGGCTTTTGAGCATGGCATAGGACGGGTTTCTCGTGGGATACTTCAATTTGAAACAACTGCTATCTTGTTCTGTGTTAGATGTAGACATGATTACGACTGCTCCAAAATGACAATATCTCACGAAAACCTGGGCCGCCGCCATTTTAAAATCAAGTACGCAGCCACGCCTACCCGATCTCAGGGATTTCGAGTATACAGTCCTCATCATTGCGGACCGGTGGCAGTGCGGCTGCGTTTGGTGCGGTTTGGCAAAATCGTTCTGCACCAGTTTTTGAAGCGGGCAAGTGCATTACTGTATTATATCCTTCGTATTACTCGTTTTCTACCACTTTTTGTCGCATACGCGTTGCAACAAAAAGGCTGAGAACGGCTTCAACAGTGTGCGCACTCCTTCTGGCTGACACGCCCCACCGGTCCGCAATGATGAGGACTGTACTAGAGGGAGAGGGGGGGGGCGGCCAGTATTACGAAACTGTGCAGACACTTTCTCGCCCCATATCCCGAAAATAGAAAGGGTTCGCAATACACTCCACTCGAACACAGTGTTGATTGCGTTTTCTATGGGGAATTTTCATTCAAAGCACTGCCATCCTGACCTGTGCTGGAGAAGGACACGATTACAATTGCCCCAAAACGGGCAGTATCGTACCATAAGTACAATCGCTGCCACCATTCAGTGGAAAGCGCAGCCACGCCCTTCCCACTTTCGGGAGGTGGATTGCAACTACAGCTGAACCTATTTTATTTTACTCCGCCTCTGAGAAATAAAACAGTGATACCCGCTGAAAGCTTGCCGAACAGAAACAAAACAATTACGAGAAAAGCTTCACGATATGATTTCGCAGAGAAGTGATAAGGTATCCCTCGGTAACGAACAAAATAAATATGGGAAAGAAAATGGTAGACTGCCAATGGTAGGAATCCAGACTGCGCTATCATTGCGTTGCAGATAACGAAACCACTTTTCCATTGCAGGACTTCATCATAAGCTGCGCCTAAATGAATTAGATTTATATTTGCTCACACCAAATATCGCAGGCCAGCTTTGGTTCCTGGAAAAAATTCCAAATGTTGTTTCTAGAAAGCGGAATTCCGGTGAATGGGAATCCAGTACTTTCCGCTTCTTTTTGAGGTTTTTTATCGTTGAAGGGCCAGTGGCCTGATGAATCGAAACGTAGCACCTAACCAAAGTGCAGCATGCCATCCCAGACCCTCCCCCTCTTCCCCAACCCCCCCCCCTCCTCCCACCGCAACCGCCCGCCCTCGAATGGCCGCACCGTTTCATCGACGCTGCTGCTTTTATCGTTTCATTCATGAAGTAGAATTGTTATGAAGGGTTGCTGCATGGACATATGGATACATAGCCATGAATACACGTGCCTATCAAAGCGGTCGGTGGCACGTTACCACAGGAAACTCGTCCAAAAATTCTCGTCCAGTGCCATGAAGAACAAAGGGTTCTCACACGTCTTCGCAGTTTACCTCCGCGTTTTCCTCATATTCCCCACTACACAGCAGTCTTACTATTATTTTTGAGCACGCACCAAATTATCGTGCCCTATGCCTTCGAAGGCACGCCCCGCGATCAACCGTAAAAATTGAGGCTCTTCCCAGGAGAAGGTAGTGGGGACCGCACAGACAACTTTGTGCACGTGTCGCGTCAGTCATGGTGAGGTAGGAGGGGTTGTGAGGCACGAGGTTGAGCAGGTGACACCATCCGCGTCACACAGGCGCCATTGGGGTCCGTCAGCTGTAGCTGCCGAGAAGTATAAATAGAAGAAGATATGTTTCAGAGTTCCAGAATTATTTTCCCTGGATGGGGATGGTTCCATTTTTGATTCTCTTATTCTTCACCCTTGGTTTGGAACTGAACTCTTTGTAGTTCCAAACTAGAACTTCTAATGTTCTACAACTTACCTCACAACTTGGACACACAAGCACCACATCATCAGTCTTTGACATTAGGACCAGTGCTACGTCGTCGATGTCGCGGTCTCGTAGGCTGTTATTTTGAAGCGATCTAGAATAAAGCATATAGAACAGGATCTAGGCAGCAGAAAAAACCATTAAGGAAATCACTTGGTTCGTTTTCGTATCATTCGTTCAGTAACAAGTACAAGACCTTTCTTGAACTGACTATTGAGACGAGCGTAGAAGATCCAGTTGAATGCAGCAGACACGAACGGTAACAAGTGAGAATAGTACTAAATTGCTCGGGTTAAAAAAAGCACAAGATATCTGTGGGCTCCACTTTTTTGAGACAGTAAGATCTAAAAAGAGAAAACTTGGCTCTGTTTAGGGGCAGGGATGTTTTGCTTTTTCGTCAGTCAATTCTACCAGTTTCTTATACTACTCTGACTTTGATGATGCCCACACAAACCGGAATGTGTCAAAAAATGTCCAACTAGTCGGGTTGGATGCCATTCCTCGATTACATAAAAGAGTATTTAATGCACAGTGAAGTCTAGCTGAGGTGGCGTGGTGTAGTGGCACGCGTACCGCCTGGAGGGGAAAGTCCCGAACAGGCTCTCTCCCAGACGAACTAACTCTTTTACCCTTAGGAAACGGTAAATTGGCACCAGATTCGTCGGCTATGGTAAAGTAGAGACGAACAATGGCTGGTCCTTGTTAGTCATTGCATTATTCAGTGAGTTATACTCCTTATCCCTTAGTCGGGGTAGGCGTGGCATTTGGACATGGCATAGGATGGGTTACTCGTGGGATATTTCAACTCGAGACAACTGCCATCTTGTTCTATGGTGGACAGAGACATGACCACAATTGTTTCAAAATGAAAATATCTCACCAGAAGCACAGCCACCGCCACGTTTAGTTGAAGTACGCAGCCACGCCTACCGCATCTTAGGGGTTTCAAGTGTACTTCGGCTCAGAAAGGATGTAGAATGCGTGCCACATCCGAAAAAGGATTGATCAGAAGCTCATCCTTTCATGTCCTAGCTGTGTTCAGCTGGTCGTGGCACATTGCGTGGGTAGGGTCATCAGACAATTATGACCCCGCCGTTGTAGAAATTTCATGACATCAAATTTCATGTTATCGGATTATGTGGATTATCCAGGTTTGTAAAATTTTGAGCATTTGGTTTAGACTCGAAGGAAGCCTCCCTTCCGAGCCATTCTCTCCAACCACTAGACTGGATCTGACACTATGTGAACATTTCGACGCATGAAATTCGATGGGATGAAGGACAAAATACGAATCGCCCCTCAATTTTCTTTCTTCGGTACGACCACTAATCCCTTGCCCGCGGGGGGGGGGGGCCCCCCGACGCTCGCCGCATGCTTTTCTAGGCGATCGTTCTGAAATTCGCTCCAAATTCCTGGCAGACTTTACGAGAAATTCTGAGGAAAGGTATAGGCAGGAGCAAAGCGAGCGGGGCAGCGACTTGGCTTCCCCTCCGCGGCGAGGTACGCGATTCCCTAGAGGCCTCCGTTCGGCACGTATGAACACCACCTGCTTGGGGATGTCCTTAATTGAGCGAGATGACATTGGAGCTTCGAATTCATCATCATTCATTTTTTCAGTTTGTCTAGCCATGTCAAATGAGTGGGTGTCTATTACAAGCTGAGTGATAATAGACCAAAAAAACGAACCCGTAGAAATTTGGGTTCAACCCTTCAGCCCTCATAAACACGAAATTGTTTGAGAAATCATGTGTGCCTGAGGGAGAACTTCAAGATCTCACCGTTAAAGTGATGTAACTTGGATTGATCTTATAACCAAACACCATGCACACGATGCCGTATATTTGTGGCACCCAGAATGGTATCTGGCAAGATAAATAGAACAAGGTGACAGCCAGAGTGTAGATTGTTATTCGGCGTATCGGAATGCGCGACTGCAACATTGTCCTGAAATTATAGGCTTTGATGCTGTGCTGAAATAATAGGCATGATGCGGATGCTGGGGTATGTCAGGGGGTTGGGTTTGGCTTGGCGCCAGCCATATAATTAATATATAATAATAATTAAATAATATAATGATTATA